ATTATAATTGAACTTTTGATAACATTGTATATTTATTTTCATAATATTGTTATTATTGAAGACTACGACACTATTCGATATCTTCCTATAAGCAAATATTCGTGATTTTATGAATGTGAAGACAATTGTTTATATATATATATATATATATATAGTTTAAGCAATGTACTTGAGGTTAAATAAAACTCAGTAACATTAAACAGTATTAATATTAAATGAATGCGCGGTCATAAAACATTTACGTAAGTTAGAAGCAAGGCTTTGTATTAAATAAAACTATTAATGTTCAATATATTTGCGATAAACATAAAAGGTGATAGTTCACGTGTAGCAACATTTATCTGGTAAGTGTAAATTTATATTTTTATTTGAAATGCGGAATTTATATTGATGCACGAGATTGTCATTGAAATTTCTTGTTATATACTGTACACTTTCTAAAATTCTAGCGCTTGTTTTTGGTTGTACTCGAATTATGTAATTGATTATCAGCGACAATCAAATATGCACACAATCAAATTGTACGGTAAAACAATAAGTTGATTTAGTTATTTTTGTTTTATATTAAATATTACGATCTTTTCAATTTTATTGAATGATTTGATTAAATTATTAAATTATATAATCATGTTATCTTACACCATATATTCTATTTAATGTAAATCTTACAATTATGGAGTTTCTGATTATTTAATTAATTCTTTTATGTCTCTTTGGTATGTGATTATGCGATTTTTAATGCTGTTATGTTTCGTAATCAAGTAAACCTCTCAAGTTCAATGTTATGCTCAGGTAATATATTTGACCAAATAAAATATTAGTATATTTTAGTTATTGAGTAAAAAATTAATATATTTTTAAATAAAGTAAATTAGTTATAATAAAACATATTATATTAATTTACCGTGTCTAATCAAAAACAGTAAAACAATATAAATAAATAGTAAAAATTTGATACAATAGTAAAAATATAACGTGTAATAAATCATTGCTGGGAAAATATAAAATGACAGGATTGAAAACAAAATTTGACAATAAATCAAAATTTAATAATGATTTTGATATTTATAAAATTATTTTCATTTTTTTTTGTCTTAAACAGTAACGCAAATGATATAAAACTTTATGGACACTTTGATTTTCTTCTAGAATACATTATTAAGAAATTTTAATATAAATTATTTAGGAGCTTCACTAGCATGTGGATGTAAAGAATATTAATATAAAATTTGAAAAAGTAAGTTTTATTTAATACATTCTGGACTTGATGAATGAGACGAATACAAATTATTTTTTATTACATTTTTTATTTCACTTCAATAATTTCCAAATATATTTTCAACTATGAAGTAATTAATTTCAAAATATTTATTACGTATTAACAAATTAATTATAATTTTTATTATATAAACATATATTATTCACCTATCAGCTTTTAAATAGATTTAAAAGTTAACCCTTTTTATAAACGGTGATGTTAAGTAATAATTTTAAAAAATTGAAAAATTAATTTTATACCGAACTTTTTAATATTATACTTTTGGCTTATTATAATTTCTTGAAATTATTTTAAAAAATTAATACTTGTATATGATAAAATTAGAGATTAAATTTATATTATTAAGCAAGCTATTTTATTTCTATAATTTAAAGTAACAAATATTCTTTGACATGCTAACATGAAAATTAATATTTGTTATTGTGAAGAAGTTTCAATAAAATTTAAATGCATATCTACTTAGATTTATTTATGTAATATACTGCATTGTATTGTGAATGTAATAATTAACTAGATAATATTTCATCATTCTATTCGATTTGATTTTTGAAAATGTACTTTAGATATTAATGCTTTATTGACCTTATAAGATATAAATGAGAACTGTGATTAATAGAAGTAATATCACAATGTAATAATAAGGCAATGATATCAGCACTTCTTAGAAACTAACTTGTAATGGGACAAAAATAGTATATTTATTGTAATAAAATTTTGTTATAATATTTGGGTATGCAAACTTTAAACTCACAAATAACATACAAAGTTTTCGTCAATAGCCTATGCCTGTATGATATGTAGTAAAAATGCAAAGTAAACTCTATCATATCAAGATATATATCGTACGTTGTTTGAAATCCTTGACGCATGACGTGTGTAAAACAAAACCAGAGAATTTCGTAGCGTATTACTGCATTATTTGATGTTACGGGTGGGTGTTTACGAAAGACTTTCCGATAGAAAGACAACGCAACGATTAACGCTTGGTAAAGTTGGTATCAAGCGCTACTGTGCCTTAATTGAGCGGCGACATGTAGGTGGTGTAACATAATACATTTAATTGCTCGATTATAAATCATGTACTTAATTTAATTAGGGATATTTTCATATTATGAGAAAAATTTTAAACAGTTTTCGCGTGTTTACTAAAACAATGGTATCAAGTATATTAAATATGGAGATCATGTAGAGCGTCTATTGGTAATATATTATGATTTAAACAATTCATCTGTGCGTCAATTAAATTTGAATGCATTATAAATCAGGTTACCTCCTTAGCTACATGTATATGTAATCTACTTAGTCTGAGAAAGTATATATTTCATTCGCATTCATCAATAGTTTAAATTGACAGAATAATGTATTTGTTGTTTTATCTTTTGCTCCATTTTATGTTTAGAACTTTGATTATATTAAATGATTTGGTATTCTTAAATATTTGGTAATGTATTATTTCTTAAATTATGAAGCTGCAATTACGAGTTGTGATAAGTAGCGTACTTGAAATTTAGTACCAGTTTAAAGAATAAAACTAGACTATATAATACAATTAGTAATAAAAAATCCTTGTGTATTTTATTTATTTATTTTTCTGAATTCATACTATTTAAAAAATGAGTATTAATATTATATCGAGTGAAAGGAAATAGTTTGAGATACGCAATAGGTATTTACTATAGTAAAGAATAGTATCTTTGACTGGCTTTAGTTATTTTTCCTTTCACTTGCTAAGATTTTAATGGTAATTTTTTTAATTTTGCGGACAAAAATACAATAAGAAAGATTCAATTTTGCATTTACCTCTATATAACAAAATTACCATTTTCAATAAATTGTTACAATTATTTGTTAATTTTTAATAATGGAAGACATAATATAAATTGTGTTTAATATACATTTAACAAATCGAAAGCCATTTATGAATTATTGATATATTAAATTTGAATATATTATAAATAACATTAAGATATATTAATATACTAAAATTAAAAGTATAATATATTTGTTTCAAGATCTGTTCTGATTTTCCTCTGAGAATATTATAAAGAAAGGAAATAATAACAGAACAAAAATATTTTTAGATTAATTATAAAAATATTTTTCACAATAATAATAAAAAAAAAATTAATATTTCTTTATAAAGATGTTAATTCTACGTTACATATTTTTTATATGTATATTATAAAACATAATTTAAAAATGAGAGAATAATAAATAATAGATTACCATAAATAACAATTAGTAATTAAAATATCATTTCACTAAATATATAGTCAATTATTATTATTAGAACAGTTTTCAAAATTTAATGTATTTAATTATATTGATATTTAAGGTATAATTTTTTTTTTAATCTAATGTATTAAATTATTGTGAATTATAAAGCATACTATTTATTAAGTATATGTTTGCATCAAAAAGATTTAATAATATGAGGAATAATTATTCATGGAAATAGAATTTCTTCATCATTAAAAAAATTAAAATATGTAAATGCTCAAATTAAGTAAGAAGGTATGAAAATAACAATTAAAATGAATGGTCATACTATATCATTATCATAAATTTAGTGCCAAGAACTTCTGTACCAATTTTATTAATAGAATTTTAAATTGAATTTACTTTCTTCATGAATACATAATCCTATTTTAAATTATATACAGTAAGCATATTTGATTTAAAAAATTCTATGGTATAAATTCTATGGTTTCATTACCTATTGAAAATAATGGATTGTAAAATAATTATTGGGTCATAGAAAATGTAACATTAATATTAAGTAGTTAGTAATGTATTTTTAACCAACATGTATGTGACGAATCGAATTTTATTATAAAGTATAATGTATATAGATATTATAATATTTTTTGTTAGTGCAATGAAACCGAAAATTTAACTTTTATTATTATTGAAGGAACTTTCGATAAATTATTTCAAATCGTTGTGTAAGAATAATCGTTCTAAAAATTGCATAAAATCAGTAATATTAAAAAACTGTGGTTAATGATAGTATAAATCAGTATAATTTTATTTTAATTTTATAATTACATTTAATTTTTATTGTATTATTATCCATTCCTTTAAAATTCAATTGTAAAATAATACTGTAGTTTATTTTATATTATTAATTTATAACATGATTATTTGGAATAAAATATAATAAAAATAATTTATTCCCTAATTGAAAATTTCTAATTGTAAAGCGTATAATACAATTTATAAAGAAATGTCAGAATTCCAATGAATTAAGTAACAATACGTTTGTTAATTGAATATATTATGTACACGTACTTTACATATACATAAGTAAAAAATTTTTTATTATTCCATATATATGTATATAAATCATGTGTATAATAATAATAATATATATATATATAGGGGAAGAGAGAGAGAGAGAGAGAGAGAGAGAGAGAGAGATTTGTAAAAACTTAAATGTTTAATTCTTTATTTATGTACTCTGTAAATCTGATATCTCAACAAAAAGATACAGAGGAGAAAAAAAGTTTATTTCAAGTATGTTACATCCATGCTCAATTACTATTTGAGTTAAGTACTGTTATAAAAGCGTGTATAAATGTATCCCTGTATTATTATTATAACTCAATTGTTACCACGATAATTTCAAGAAAATAAATTGGAAATAAATACGAGTAAATCGGGTGCAACACTTCTAAATCGATCTCTTTCCGGTGTGTCGCATAACTTTCACGCTCAAGCTATGAAACCCCAAACCGTTCGTATATAGTTCCACGAGATTTCCCGGTTCATTGAATATTGTTGGGGACCACTTGTGCCCTGGGTAACTCATTGGAAACAATCGCACATTGAGTAATAATTATTGTGACTGTTGACAGATATATAAAGGCAACCGAGGACCCTTTAGCGTCAGAATCCAAAAAGTAATCCGTGGCTTTAGTGGCTCTAGTAACTTTGAATACGACAAGTCGAGTATGGAGTTTATCGTGAGTGATATACTTTTTATTCAAAAAACTATCTTGAAACTATATTATTATTTGTATTCTCATTCGTTCTGATTTCTTTTGAATAGAAGGGTAAACAGGTAGAATAGAAAAATAAAATATAAAGGGTGATATTTTAATGATTTCTAAATGAATAGTATCAATCAATATAATTATTCAGTATTGTAAAGCATTACTGTTCATTTACCTTTCATTTTCATTATGTAATATTTTATATTTCTAAAATACTGTTAATATAATAGTATTGATATCAATATTTAAGTATTAACATTTTTTTGTTTGAAATTTAATATATTAATTTGTACTTTCAAAATAAAATCAATAAAACTCTTACGATATTTTTTGCCTTATATTTGCCCTGTTTTTTTTTATATTTTTAAAAATTTTTTGAACAATATGAATTAGAAGTAATAAACGTTTATTTAGTAACATAAAATTACCAATAACAAGTAATATTACATTAAATTCATATTAATTATTATATTAACTAGTACAAACAATATCGTTTTTTTATATCAGTATCAAACGCTTATTAACTAATAAAGTTTATTATTTTTTATTCATTAAAAAAAATTCACACTTCTATGTAAATATAAATTTAAATATTAAGTACCACGATTGTCATTAATGAATATTGACTAAACACAACAAGAAACAAGAATGCTTACTTTCATAGCGAAACTCATCAACACTTATTGCAAAATCAGTTTTAATGGAAAGTCAGTGAGTGTACTCATTCATTACTTACGATTCCCACAAAATTTTTTAATGAATATTGTAAGCTCTCAGAAATACTAACTAACCGTAGAATTTCAAAAAATACGAATGCAATAAATAACTTAATAAATACTAATATTTAGTATTTATTAATAGTTTTTCTTTCATAACTTTCTAAGATATGTAAGTTCATATTAAAGTTTGTGACTTTAAATTTTTCTACGATTTACAATATATTTTAATTTTTTTTTTATTTCTACTATTCAAATATACAAAAAAAAATATATATATATATATAAATTAAAAAGTAGGGAGCTTTAATAAAGGCGCTATTTTCTAACTTTTTTTATTACGAAGTTTATTTTTTACTTTCTAAAATATATGAACATAATGTATTGTAAAATTATTATTAAAAAAATCAGTTCAGTGAAATTTCCCTTTACACAGACATTTAAAAATATAATTTGAAATTTATTTTATAAAGTTGTATTGGTTATTGTATATAAATAAAGTCAGCAACACATACAAGTATAAACAAATAGCATAGATGGCTAATAATTTGTGATTAAAAAAATTGTAATTTCAATGACATACGAAGCTTCATCAATATCATGGAGCACGGTACTTTATATCCATTAAAATCTATGATTATAGTTAATTCTTTTTTTATAATATACATTATTTCCTATTACTCATCTCATTGCCCTTAATCGCATAGCAGTAAAAGTCATATAGAAAGGTTGCTCCCCTATTTATAGCTTTAAAATAAAAACTAGTTTTTTCTTATGAAGGTGTGTCTCGTATGTCTGCTGGTAGTTGCACTGTCTTCTCAGGCGCAGCATCGCAATTATATCGGAAGGCTTTCCGCACCGGCTCCAGTCGGCGAAGACGGACGCGTCGTTGATACCCCGGAAGTAACTCGGGCCAAAGCTGCTCATCTCGCGGCTTTCGAATTAGCATCCCGATCGATCCATCACCACGGACGTCCGAGTAATCGAGAGTTATTATCTGCTCTTGGGGCTTCCGTCTACTCTAACCCAAGTTACTTCAGCACCAATGTACAACATGGATCTTATGGTTATCGTGGACCACCCGCTCCTTTGGACCATGATGTAAGATCTATATTAATATATTAATAGTGTGCACTAAGACGAAAGGCTTTACTTTGATATAATTACATATGACTCTACATTATAAACGCTTCTTTAGACTTTACATAGGTAATTCATTAAGACTAAATACAAGACCTCAACAATGATGCTCTGATATCCTCTGCTGAGGACATCTTCCTTATTTATTTTCATGCAAAATTAATATTAGAGTTTATTGTGTAAAACAAAGTTTTTTTTTTATTTTAAACGTAGATTTATATAATTCTCGCTTCTCAATAATTATTAATTGAAAGAATGTAGCAATTTTGACCTAAACCTTAAATATAACAGTTTCCATTATCTATTTATAATTAAAAATTTCCAAAAAAAATCTAATAAAGTGCCAACAAAATTAATTTAATGTGAAATAATAAAAGAACAAGACTCATATAATTTGTAAACTTATCGATAATGTATAAATAATTTGTTAAAATTAAGAATCATTAAAACAGACTTCCCATTCTGCAAAAAACATTAATTTTTATCAAAAGATAAATAGCACTTTAAAATTTTAAATAAAAACTTTTTTAAAAACGAATGAAAATATTACATAAATACTTAAGAAAAGTTATATATTTTTTTAACATAACCAGTCATATGAAAAATATATTATAACAAAATTTGATTTTAAACAGATTTATAGTAAATATTAAATTAATTATTATTTTATATTCGTACATTGGACTTTTTAAAATTTCTTTATACATAATACGTGCATTTTAAATGATAAGAAATATATAGAAATTGTCTATTCTTGATAATGCATACATTAAACAAATTTATAATGTTTCGTGGAAATGTTTAATTGAATTATTACATTAAAAAGAGAATTATGAATTATTCATAAATATTTTATGAATCGTTAAACATAAAAATGTAAAGTGAACATATGTTTCGAAACAATATTATTTTCATATCCAAGTATTATTATTATTGAAAAAAATAAGTTTTGATTTTAAATTAATCAATATAAGAGTATGTAATAAATTAAAGTGTTATGAGTTTTTCCTGTTTCGCTTTTGCAAATATATTAACATTAGATATTCTAACACTGTTCTTTTATTGTTCCAAGTTCGTTTATTATTTAAACTGTAAATTAATTGTGGCCATTGAAATCATTTAGAATTTTTATAAGCTGATATTATTTTTTTCATTATTTCTAAATGTTACCTATTATATATTATTTCGATGCGAGAGTACGTTAAATTATTAAAATTTAAAATAACGAATTATGGGTTTATTTTTTAGATTAAAAAGCATTAAGGATACATATTGTACAATAAATAAAACGAAAAATTAATGTTTCTTTAATAGCTTGTTGGATTGCTAAGTAGTGCAAATTTTATATTCGGTTCTATATCGTTTACCAATATGGAATATTTTATTAAAATTATCGGCGAACCACATTTTTTCAGTATCTAGATTTCATAAAAACTCAAGAATGCTAGAAAATTTTTTATCCTGAAATATATATGTTCATCTAGTACAGAAGAATACATGTCTTGTAAAAAATTTCACTTTTTACAAATATTATACTAAATTTTAAATTATAAATTGTTATTCATTTTACAAATATTGTATTTCACACGTAGAATCCCTTTTTTATCACTTATAGAATCCATTAAATTATAATTTGATTCTTTTATTAATATATGCTTACAATATATTTTCTAAAAATGTTTTAGTTTATAATAATTATTTTTTATAATATCTAAGTGACTACAAATTCTAAAGTTTTATTAATATAAAATTTTGTTATAAATTTTACAAGATTATTTTTACAAGTATATCAAAATTATAGTACAATATATTAAGAAGATAAAATAGCAATAAATAATGAATATGAAAGAAGCTATTATTTCATTATGTATGCTAATGTACTTATTTAAATCTCAATATTGCATAAGTATCAACACAGATTTGCATGTGTAACTAATATGACATACTAAGTTAATAAAATTTATTTTTACCGGTTTATTACATATTATATATTTAATATAGAAATCATTTTTTATTTTTTTTTATGTATTTAATTTATCTGCATTAATTAATTAAGCTTTTTTACTTTAACTAAAGTTTCAATAAAATTTGTTCTCAATCACATTATCGAATTCTTATACGTTTCATTTTGTTAACATTGGTACTAGACATCATTCCAAATATGGCTTTATAAGGTTTTAAATCGTTTCGTGTAGTTTTTCAAGATTTTTGTTTTCATTTTTTTTTTTTTTTACCGAGTAATAAGTCATAATTGAAACTGACAATTCATTGAAAACGGTAAATATATTTAAATACATTTATAAATTTATCATGGCATGTAATAAATCACAAACCACGTAATTTATTCACTCTTACTAACACCAATAAATTATAATTATTTAAAAACAATAATGAATTATAGTTTTTAATATACATGTTTATTTAATATTTACACTAATTATATGTTTTTACTTAAAATAATTTATATTGTTTTTATAGAAGAATATATAGGTACGATATATACAGAAGCTGTCCTTAATAAAAGTAAAATATAAATTAATATTTGATATAGGTTTACATATATCAAACAAACTACAAAAAATATGATTCATTGATTCATAAAATTCAAAAGCTTGTAAAAGAATAACATTATTAAAAGATTAGTGGTACTCTTAAAATTAGGATATTTCAAATACACTTCTTATATGTTATTATTCATTATAAAAAATTAATATAACTATTTTTAATTTCGATGGATATAACTTTTCAATATAAGAAATATAAAAGTGGAAAATCAGGTATTTATCTTTTCTTCAATGTTAAATATTTATTTTCACATAGGATGTATATTGTATTGTATATAGTATATATATACATGTATATTGAATTTTATATATAATATAATAATTGTTACTTATTTTTATAAATAGAAGAATCATATATTCATATTTTTTTAAAGAGAATATTTCTTATAAAATTTATATTTTCTTTAATAAGAATTTTATTCGTTGAGATTTTAAACAATATTCATATTTTATATAAATGAATATTTAAAAAGAATCATTTGAAAAATGAGTTTATAAATAAATTTGTTATTATTTATTAATTAATTAATAGAAAAATTAAAACTTTTAGATGCCTTGCATGTGTTTATTAATAAATTTGTTATTCTTTATTAATTAAATAATGCAAAAAGGAAAACTTTTAGATGCTTTCAAATATAATTAATATATTTTCATAGTAAATTATATATTTTAAATGAATTTACATAAACTCTTGAAATAAATTTTACACTTACGCTTTTTTATGATTGAAATGCGGTGATATTTAATTTTCTGATAAACGATGGATTTTTATAATTTATAATTTAGTACATTTTAACTATAACAAGTATCCTTTTAAGAATAAAATTTTATCTGTTAAATTATTTATAACTATTCAATTTATAAGTAATTTATAACTAATAAAAAAATTATTAAAAACATTAAATTATTTACAATACTATTGCATGCTATGACTTAATATTTATATTTATCTGAATTGAAGTTGGAGAAATAACATTGTGACTAACTCTAAATTACTTGTCTAATAGAAATCTTTTAATATGCCACAAAAAACCAATTTATTAACTGCAATTTTTTTTCTGTTGAATTTTCTCATCTTGCATAATCAGTGAATGATTATGTATTAAAATTTATAAAAAATAATGAAAATAAAATAAATAAATATAAAATAAATAGATTTTTTAAATTTATGTTATTAGTTGATAAGTAGTATTTTTTTAAATAAATTATTTTTGTACTAGTTCTTCAACTTTATTTACCACAAATACTAAATTTTGACATTTTTTTTAATCACATTACTCTTAAAAACTTTAAATTTCATGTTTATTGCAATTTCTTCATGCACTTGAAAATGAGTCGGTTAACACTAAATGAATATATAAATTTGTATAATAAAAAATTAAATCTTTATGTTATTTATGAATAATTCGAATATCAGATTAATAGTTAATGTTTAAATTTATAATAATATAATAAATGTAGTATTCTCTATTTGAGAAATTTTTCAAATTATTTTTATGCAAATGTTAATTAATAATTTGAATGTTTTCTTTACATTTCTATATTTTATGCCCGTGGATATACCCCCCCTTCATACACAAAAAATATATATAGATTTACTCTATAAATTGGTTAGTGAGACTAGTACAATATTTACTAATATTTTCATTAATAAACAATACTTAAATAATGCAATGTTAACGTAATAATTATGGGGAATCTTTTACGTAATTTATGATTTTGCTTAAAATGATTACCAAAATATGCTCCTAGTTTTCATATAAAAAATTCAACCGCTATTTGATTTATTTTTAATTTTAAAAAAAAAATACACTTTTATTTTGAAATTTTAAAATCAAGAATAAATTTATATGATTTGGAGCGACCAGTTAAATTTATTTTAATGAGTAAAGATTTTTTAATTTTAAAAACTATTAGAGTAGCTTTAATTATTTTTAAATTTAATTTATTGTCTTTATCACAATTTTATAAAACTATATTATCTTAAAAAAAGTATTTTAATGATTGATCTAGTCAAACATTTTTAAGCGTAATCGTAAATTTGTCACGCCTTAATGGTTTAAGATCACGTATGATATAAGAATGTAGTAATGTATTCATCAATAGCTAGTATTCGCCACTCATTATCTTTTCTTCATATAATACATATCGAAGAATCAAAATATAAGAAAGCCATGCAATTTGAAAATATACATATCCTTAGAAGAGTTGAAAAAGCAAGTAGTATTATAAAACATACATTTATAAGTTATTTCAAATTTTTTTGCGTTAATAATTTAGTGTGCTCATGAAATATATAAGCACGTTTACGTATTTCATGGGCGTAAATTTGTATTGGTCCCAAAAGAAATGGTACTAAACATGCAAATACAATTGTAAATACATGCTAACTTATGAAATGCTATCATAAAATTACCTATAGTATACCAAATAATTGGCTTGGAAATTGTTAATACAGGGTCGAGTGGTGGACACACCTGAGGTAGCACAGGCCAAGGCCGCGCATTTTGCCGCTTTCAGCCAAGCTTCATCGCGTTTCGCCGGCAACCGCGATGATTATTATTCCGGCGCTTCTTACAGTGGTAACAGTGCCGACGAGGATGACGGGAGCAGCAGCAGTAGTGTCGAGACCCACGCCTCGACCCACTACCAAGGCCCGCCTGCACCCCTGGCCCAGGATGGACGCGTCGTTGATACACCAGAGGTCGCGCACGCCAAGGCCGCGCACTTCGCGGCCCTCGACCGCGCCTCCCACGGGCACCGAACCTCCTACCATGATGACTATTGAGTTACCTCAATAAGTTGTCACGTTATGTAGCCCATAGGAAGATAAAGTCACTTCATTTTTAATGATAGAAGTCTTATTTATATATGTATATGTGAGGAGTGGATGTTGACAGGTACGAAATTTTGGCGACATTTAAAGTTGCGTAGTAAGATGTGATTGCAGTGTAACATACAGTTAAGTTGTAATATTACTTCTAAAAAATGTCATAATGAATTGTTAATGGAATTTGGCGCCATTTAAAGTTGCAGGACACGCTTCAATCTTCATTTATTAGTGTATTTAGCTTGTATGAAATATATATATATATAACTAAATAATTATTAAGTCAGACTTTCTAATGTATTATTTTTGTAGTTCGCTTTCAATTATTATTTATTTGCACGAATAAATTTACGCCTGTAAACAGAATTCGATTTTAAAATTGGTTTATTTTCAGTACGATATATTAAGTAATTATAAGAGTCGCGATGTATATGAATGAAATTTATATTACAGTTGCGCCAATAAAAATAAATATAATGTTTTACGGCACAAAATAAAAAATAGCACCATTGAAGAAAACACGAAATAGCTATTTCATTAAAAATAATAAATATATAAATAAATAAGCTGCGTAACGTAGATTTTTTTTAAATTACAGAATATAATTACAGAAACAATGTTTTAAATTGACCAAATAAATTATACATAGTTGAAGCGATCCAAAAAGTATATTGTGAACAATCTTGTAATTTAACTTATAATCTTATAAAATATTATTATATAATAGTTTAATTAATTAAGTTTTATTTATAATTACATTATTACATTATAAAATATAAATAGTATGTGTTTATAAATTAATAAATTTTTGGCAAATATTTTAATAAATAAGTAAAAAAATATACTAACATCACAAAGTTTCATTTAAAAATTGTGGAAAATATTATTAATACAACTTATTTAACTTAAGAAATGAAAAAAATATGTCATTTGTAGATAACGTTTGTGAATAAATTACATCTAACATAATAAATAAATAAAAATACGAAAAGAAATAGAATTTAATATTATTTCATACAATACTTTTATACTTTGGAATGGAAACAATTAATAAAAAGACAATAACAAATATTTATAATAAGAATGTAAAATAATAATAATCTTCTTCGTTAATAATAATATTATTAATATTATATCTTTATTTTGATAAAAGTATATCATAACATCATCAAGTGAATCAAATTCATTTATATAAAATTTAGTTGATTTGTAAAGGGTATTAAAGAAAAAGAAAATTTAGTTTTGAATAAAAAATATAAACAAATTTACTAAAATTTGTTTCTTTTCTTATTAAATTATATAATTGCCTTAAAATTAAAAAAATTGTTAAATAGAAAAGGTAGCTTTATCTGATTGACTACATATACTGATATACTACAAATTCTGCTTAGTGTGCTTTTTATTGAAATTATTATTTTATTTTAATTAAAGGACGAAATCTAATAACCATACCATGTGATATTTTTTTAATAATATTCTATTAAGAAGAATTAATATAAAACCGACTAGTTTTTCTTTCAGATATGTTCATATTTTATTTTGAAATAAAATAAAAATTATATCTTTTTTTAATAAAAATTATTGTCTATCAATATTTATAAAATAATTTCATTGTCGAAATACATCTAAGATTTTCCTTGTTTATGCAGTGCTAATGTCAACATTTTTTTTTTAATAAAAAATGTCCATCGTTTATCAGTACAAATACTTTTTAAGCACGCATGTAGTTAAGTAATAATAAACATGTTTTATTTTATACTTTTATGCTCTTCATATAAATTATTTGCAGACTAATTTTCCTTTGATTGCATTTATTAAATCAAAAATTAACCTTTACATTAAAATTAAAAACATCAAAAGTAATTCCAAGATGTATGTTATCTATATATTTACAAAGTAATTTCAATTTTAATATTTTATGAAGAACATGGCATGCATGCAGAATACATTAACTTTTTTAACTTTCGGCATATTTTTATAAAATTATTCAATATTATTTAATATTTTTAAGAAATTTCTAAAAAAATTTTAATTTTTAGTTAATATTCTAATTAAATAATAATGAACTAAAACTTATGAGCTATAAACTCTCGTTTTCGGAAAGGTTTAAAATTAAATCTTTCTTTAATAAATAACAGATTTTCAGTTATTATATAATTTACTAAATTACGCAACTTACTTTTAAATATTAAGTTAAAAGATAAACTTGTGGTATGATAAGAATTTTTGATAGACCATTTTTTCTTTTTTTACTGTATTGTTTATTTTTCTTTATTTACTACTGCAAAATGATGACGAAAGATAATAATATGCGGTTGATTTAAGTTCAACGTCAATTGAGAAATAATACGTGATAAATCGTTAAACATGTGTCTAATGAAAAAACACCATTAACTAGTAGATATTGATCTAAATATTCGTTGCCATGAATTATAATTCTATTTAGGACGTGTTTTCTGATACTAAAAAGTTAAAGTCAGTACCCACATTTTAATTTTTATAACTTTATGTATTAAACAATAAAAAATTGTAGAGAACATTTTCAACGACCTCGTACATTAGTAAATTGACGAAAAATAAGTATTAAATGATGTAAACATAATATAAATAATTTAAATTTAATATGTAATAATAATTTATAATTTAAAATGTTTTGTCATTAAAGTATGTAATTTAAAATATATATTATTAATGATACGTATTATATATAGTAAGTAAAAACTATAATTATATGTAATTTACATATGTGAAATAAATTAAAATTTTATATTTCGTTTATATTAAATATTGTTAATTACAGTTTTGTACTAATATCTTGAATACTATAAAATTACACTCAATTGATTTTATAATACAAAATATCGCAAGTTACTGACAAGTCCGACAATTTAGAATATGTTATCACCGCCGCTCTAAATAGTAAACAAATCGATCGATTAATTACATATAATCAACAGCTTGGTAGTTACTTTTCCTAAAAACGCTGTTACATGAGCCCCCCCCCTTTCTATTATAACGTAATCGCGTAAGCTAATATGCATATGCGTACATACACGCTCAAATGCATTGCCATACATAAAGTTGTATTTCCGCTCCTGAGCAATTACCACGAGTTGGCCTTTTCACTAAGTCGCATGTCGTTTGTCGCGTACAATAAGTGGAAGTGTATTCATTACGTGATCGTAATTACAAAGATCTTGCTACAGCTTAAAAATTCATGTAGGGCTCGCCAATTATTGGCATTGTACGGAGACCCAAGCTAACAGTTGTGTATATTTGTGGGGACACATAGGCACACGACTGTAGAATGTATGCAAATAATTATTCGTCCCTGTCGTTGTTGCATTATATCACGGGGTTTTGGTTACGGAACGCGTTGGAATAATTCACTGATTAAGCAAAGGTCTAGTTTTATTGTTCGAAACTTGTCACATTATCAGACTGGGAATGGATATGAAAAATACATTTTATTACGTACTCTCGGATGCGAGTAAGGTCGTTTTCAAAATACTGTTATTAAATGCAATTTAATATTTATAAAATCAGCATTGTTACTATAAATATTTTAATTATACAACCAGTGAAAGTCATAGATTATTTTGATTAACATAGGCTTTGACTAAAGGCTATGAAAATCAATAAAATCAGTTGCACAGATGTCGTATTTATAGAAAACTATGCATCTATGCATCGCTATCTGTATTACGTATTAATAATTATTTTATAATATTTATTCTAGTAGGCTTAAAACTTTTTTCTTTTCATTTGTTTCAAAAATAATATTATTATTAGATATATAAACACATATGTATTCGGTAGATTATTAATTATATATATAATATACTTCTATTAATTTCAATACTTCTTTATTAATAAATTGAAGTTGCAAGAGTGACATTACAAGAAATAAAGCAATGTTTTTCATAGAATTTATAAAGTTTATTTCATATTATAAATTAACATGTTACTTGCCATTATTTCCATTATATAATGAATTTAAATCAATTAATGTTTATATTTTACATTCATTAAAAACAAAAAAATATAAACAAATGATTTTTTTTATTTTAAAATTGTTTTTAAAATTGTTTTCAAATTAATTTTTTTATTGAAACTATATTATAAATATTATAAATGTAAAAATATTGGTATAAAATATTTATATAATTAAATATTTTAAATAATTTTGTTATGCTATGTGACAATATATATCACTTCGTAATAGAATATTTATTTGAGATTAAATTTGAATAAATTTATTAACATTATATAATATTATATAATTCGTATAGAAAGAACTATTCATAGAATTTTTTTAATTTAATTGCGATTATAAATAATTTGGACCGGTTCGATGGTGGTTTGCATATTTTCATATTATTATCAGTGACTTATCAAATTATTATTTTTTATCTTATTTTTATAATTATATAATTTATTGATATTTATTTTAAATGCAACTTGTTCGTTTCCTGATAACCAAAGTATTCGACTTTAACTTAGTAGTTAATTAAATATAATAGCGCCTTGAATTTTTGACACATTATATAATTCCAAAAAGATATATAATTCAGTTTCATTTGCTAATAATATGTTTGTAAATTACAAAATATTTTCAGTGAGATCATATTAGATATCGAGGAATAAATAATTAAAAACAAATATTTGAAGAAATAAATTGACTATTATAGAAAAAATGATTCTCTAATAAATTTGTAAAGAAATATTTATTCAACAAAAAAAATTAAAAAGTTTATATGAAATAAAAACACAATTATGGTTATTATTATAAGAAAATCAAAATACAATTGAATAATATGGTATATAATCTCATTCATCTATTTAAATATACGCAATAAGTACGCAATATATTGTTAATAAATATTCATTACTTAAAAAATGAATACTTATTGAAGTGAATTTATGAAATGTCAAAAAAAAGTTTATATAAATTTCAT